TTTACTCTTTGATCAAGTCGTGACTTGACCCCATGATAATTGTTCTTTAATTCCGGATCCTCTCTCCAGAGTAATCCGGTTTGAAATCTTGATGTTTCTTCATTTAACTTCAAGACATTTTCGATCAATTCTACCGCTCTCATCTCATCTCTTGTGAGTTCCTTCGATGAATTGTCGAATGGAAATTCTTCCAATTTCCATTGTTGCTCTAACGCCTTCGCTATTCTTTCAGTACTGGTGATTAGGCATGTCGGTTCTTCTGTTTCCCGACTGTCCCTAGTCCAGTCTGTCCCACAGGGTATATGTCCCCATGGGGTCTTTAGTAAAACGAACGTATCTGAAACGCGGATCGCTACTTGCTGAATCATTCGCCAGTACTCGCCTATTCCTACTAGGATATCAACGTCGCACGGCGGTCGCGGAAATTTCTCGTTCAATTTATACTGTTGTTTTATATGCGTCGGCAAATCTAAACTTTCCAGAGAGAGAATGTGCGGAGTCGTAAAAGCATTAAACTTAATTACCCTATTGCGGGCATCTAGCGTGATACTGACTTTGTCCGCCGTACACTCTCTCGTAGTTTTTAATGACTTAATAGCTAATTCAATCTCTCTCTCTACAATTGGGCAATGAAGGTATGAACTTGCACTTACCGTAATAAACGAGTGAGAGGAAGCAGAATCCATTAGTATCCGAATTGGTTTTGATTTTGCATGTGGCCTGTAACAAATAACGGGTAGTATTCGCCCTCCCGTTTCAATCGGGTTACTCAGATAACACTGTACAATTTCTTCGACTTGATCATGTGATTCGGGCTCTCCGATCTGGCACACCATATCCGACTGAGAGAGACCCGTAGCCTGTCATTGCGGTTTATCCACCCTTTCCTCTGGCTTCGCCTCTTTGGGTTTCCTTTTGTAATTCTTGATATGCAGGCTTTTGTGATGCGGAAATGTGCATTTTTCCACTCCACACTTCTCGCTCCTACATTCCTTGGTCTTGTGGTTGTCCCTTAGGCAGTTCATGCACACCCCCGCTTTCCTCGCGATGGCGCATGCCTTTTCCGGTGTCGGTTTCTCCTTGCACCGTGCGCTGGAATGCTCAGCCTCACAGAATATACACTTTGGTTTATATTTTGTCGGCTCTTCACGTTTCCTTGCTTGTTCAGCTGCCTCTGGGACTGTCAGAAAATTTTCCAAGGAGGTTTTTGGTTTCCCTCCCCCATTCTCTCGACTCTCCCCCGATTTGTTCGTTTCGGTCCGACTCTTTTGTTGTTTGACAATACTCGGGTTTGTTGTCAACGTGTCGCGGAACCTTTCCACATACTTTCCGAGGAATTCTATCAAGAGTTCGAATCGTTTCTTCTCGGGAACCGGTTCTCCGCTCCGATCCTCGTACCTGTCGCACCAAGTGTCCCATTCCAACAAGCATCTTTGCGATAGCTTGTCCTCGATCATCATCGTACTCGTCATCGAGTACTTTACAGATTGCGGTTCATAGTCCCGCATGAGGTAGAACATTTGGCCGGCCAAGTCCACAAATCCTTGCAATTGCCCCAGATCTTGTTCGTTCACCTGTGGGTGATTGTTCACTTGACGTGCCATTTCGATCACCACTTTTCTTGGCTTTCCAAACCTTGCGACCAATGCTTTCTTCACAAGTTCGTACGACGATTCCTCGAAGCGGAACTTTTGTAGTGCTCTTAGTGGTGGTCCCTTTAATGATAGTGAAAGCCTGTTGAACTTTATGATGGTCGGGATGGTGGGATTGTTGTCGACCAGTGCCGTGAACTGTTGCCAAAACGAGTCCCAATTGGCTACTGTTCCGTCAAACACGGGTAGCTTTTCCCTGGCTGCCATGCTTGCGTTTTCTCCAGCCAGCGCTTGGACCAACGTCGCCATCGACATTGATGATTCCGCAGGTTGCGGATTCCTGTTCGCTCTTCTTTCTCCCTCCGAGTCACTGTCGGATTCCGCTACCCTTTGTTTTTGCTTTCTTCTCGTTCCCCCGTGTTCCTCAGTACGGTTCGGGGTTGGATTCTGTCTCAACGGAGTGCTTTGTGCTGCGACGGCTCCAAGGGTCCGGTTTAACTCATCAACTTTTGCCCTCATAGTTACCAGTTCTTCCTCCATTCTGTCTCTGGTTCTGGCGTCTTTTTCTTTCTCCGTTTCTTTGAGGTCAAAATCTTTGTATAGAATCGGTATGCGGTTCTTTGTCACCTCCAGAAACCTTTGCACGTCCACCAAAACATTCTCCTGTTTCATGTAAGCCGTTCTTCGGTTCTTCTCATCTTCCGCTACCGCATTGGCATCTTGTAATCTTTTCCGGATCACACATGTGTATGCCGTTTCTTTCCAAATTTCGCGTGCTGCTCTCGAGTACACTTCTTTTAGTTTTTCCGTGTATAGATTTAGTTCTTCTGATCCTAAATCTAGCATCTGTTGCAGCTTGACCTTTGCTGCGGTAATGTTCTTTCTCACTTGGCTTCTTGTCGTAAGCCAATTTTTGTTTGTGTAGTCTGGGTTATTCTCATTTAAAGTTTTCGTCAATGATTTCAATCTCTCGACCGGCGCTATTGTTGCGTCGATCCTGATGAGTTCTGTCACTGGTATCTCATGGAGGATATCTTTTTCGGATATTCCCTCCATGTTTCGACTTTTTCACTTCGTTTGTTCAGTCGTTCGAATGCTCGCACTAACCTTTCGGTTGCCACGCGGATTTACTTGAATAAATTTTCACTCGGCACCGGGAACATTTATCGTTCTTCTCGGATGCTCATGCACCATATACTGTTTTCGTGGACTCTACCTACGAACCAGGATGCTGAAAAATAAGATACGGCGGAAGTCGCTCGCCGTCTAATCCCGAACTCGATTCGTCGATTCGGATCGCGATCGAACTCGTCGTTTGAGGAAATAAAACCAGGAGGTTTGTGTTACTCAACCACCAAGCTTTATTGGACTGACTTTCATACCAGAATACAATGTAACATGTAAACACGCAGTATCACATATGACGTTCATTGACCCGCTTCACTTCCGTCGGAGCGGGCTTAGCATTTTAAATAGGTTGCGTTCAACAACCCGTCTCGCATCCGGCGAGGCGGGTGTAGCACTTTAAATTCTTTCTTTACCTCCACCGTATCGCATCGGCGAGGTAAAGGCGAAGCTCGTTAGATTTCTCCTGACAATTGCGGTTGCGTGAGTGCAGCCACAGCGCTGGTTGCTTGTGGATGCCGATTTCTATCTTCTCTCTTCACATGCATACATAGTTACTTTTTATGATTATTGCTTTGGTGGAGAGAACGTTTTATGCTTTTTCATACTGTATGTTTTACTATGCTTATTTACATCGTACTTTATACCGTATGTTTGCATTTGTTTATTTACACGAAATTACTTATTACTTAAATCTGAAAATTGTTACGTCTGTCTCTTTTGCCATAGGGTTGCCACGGTGAACCTCGATTAAAAACTTCACA